TTCGGTAGACACGTGGAGGAGCGAGGGCAGAAACAATCCTGGAAATTCTGGAAACGCCAAGGCCGAATATAATGTATTATTGACTGCGCAGCTTTTTTTTTACGCAACAAAGGAAAAGGTGGCAAAAACTATCGGCAACAAAATATATTCAGATGTCGCGTCGGCAGGGAAGAAAGAAAGGAAGGGAAGAACGGAAACGCAGCTAGCTCCGGAAAGCAATACTTCCATTCAAGATAGGGATTCAGTCTGTGGGTTTATACACCAAGAAAAGTGAGCGAAGTACATGTAAAAGAAGAGAGGGATCTGGGGTAAAGGCCATCTCTCGAGGCTCCTGTCTTTTTTCTTCGTCCGCTTCCTAGCTTCCGCAAGGTTTCTTCACAAGAGCAAATAAACTGATGTACATGCATCAGCAGTATCGACACATGCGTAGTGAAAAGCGTTGTGATGTGTTTATTTTGTAGAAAAGTGTTGAGGTATAAAGGTATTGTTTTAAGTGTAGATGAATGAATCATGGCGCTAAAATACGAGTTGTGGTGACGGTGTTTCGTTGACTTTTCTTGCGGTGATGCGGTGTTCGTTATTTTTTTTGGCGGTGTTCAGAACCCCCCCATGTCCCCCTCTTTAAGTGCGATTGAGTCTAAATATCGCGCGTTGTTTAGCATTCACTTGTAGCACTTACATAGCAACAAGGTCAAATAAAGTCCGTTGATCGATCGATGGCCGATCGTATTTGAAGAACTTTGAAAACCATCCAACGACTTTTACCCTGCGGTGTTGCGGTGTTCAGAACCCCCCCATGTCCCCCTCTTTAAGTGCGATTGAGTCTAAATATCTTTGTTTGATTACGCGCGTAGTTTAGCATTCACTTGTAGCACTTACATAGCAACAAACTCAAACAAAGTCCGTTGATCGATCGATGGCCGATCGTATTTGAAAAACTTCGAAAACCATCCATGGCTTAACGCGCGTTGTTTAACAAACTGCCCTCAAAACCTTTTTTTCATTGAGGCAAAATGTATTTGATTTATTGCGCGTATAGTTGCACAGAACTTCTGATAATGAAGACTGTATTGTTGTTTTCTTGCCACACGTACCCACGCACAATGTGTGAACTTGTGTTAATTCAAGGTGAGACTTTTTTTTTGGCACCACGCCCTGAGAGCAGTGTGGGCAGCCCTGAGAAAAGTGATGCCGCAGGTCAAACTGCAGGGATGCGTGTTCCATTGGACGCAGGCTGAGTACGTGACCGGCAACTGGATCAGTGGCACCACCTGGAGCCCGGTAGACTGGACGGTGTTTAAGAAAGCCGTGAGGACCAACAATGACATTGAGGGGTGGCACCATGGCCTCAACCGCCGAGCCTCCGGACGTGGACAGCTGCCCTTGTACCTCCTACTTCAACTCCTGTACAAAGAGGCCAAACTTACTGCCCTGCAGATCCGCCTTGTGTCGGACAGGAAACTCAAAAGGATCCAACGACGTAAATACCGCGACCTCCAGACCAAACTGTTCGACTTGTGGGACCAATACGAGGCCAACGAACGGTCAGCCAAGCGGTTGCTGAAAGCCTGCACCGAGGGACTAGGCGGATAAACCAAACAAACAAAAAAACAAACGGCTCCTTTAGGAGCCACCAAATAAAATAAAAGCAATGATCAACAATGCAATACATAGAATCCAGAAAAAAAAATAAAAACGTGACAATTCTTTTGATAAAAATATAAAATCATAGAGAGAGCCGAATAACTTATGCAAACTTATCTTTATTCAAACTTATAATCTTTTCCAAAAGCTCCCTTCTCTAAAATTATTGTTTAAAGTAAAAGAACAAGAAGAAAGCAGACGATTAGCAGTGCTTCATCGCCGTAAAGTCCTGAAATGTGAAGCGTACGTACGTCATTGCTGCGTTGTCATGGCAAGTTTTCAACCTATTACGCGCGGTAAAAGTGAGACGACATTTACCGAATGTCGTTTTTCTCGAGTAAGCAAAACTATGAGGCCGACAACTATAAGAATTAACAAGAACAGTTCAAGTTCCCGTGCATTAACGGAGTTTTGAGGGATTACAACGGATGAGAATTCGTGTTGAGGAAAATAATCGAACGAAGTGATATTTAGTGTATTTTGAGGGATTACAACGTATAAGAATTCGTATAAGATATTTTGTATAAGATATTTTGGGGCGAAATGACTTTTGGTTGGGGCGAAGTGACTGGGGGCGAAATGACCGTTACAGTACGCAAGTGAGCGTTGTTAGAAATAAATAATACTTTGTCACATCCGGAACGGAGAACTGACCTTTTCCCAATATGAAAACAAAAAAAATTCTTTGTATCCTCTATTAGGTCCTTACAGCATTACGATCTTATGCTACAACTTTCTGAAACTACTCGGCCCGGAGATACCATGGGAATTTTCAAGGCAAGCGCAAGTCGCTGTGTACATGATGTTGTCGAGTGTCTTTGTGAGTTGGCTAAAGCCTGGATAAAATTTTCTACAGTCTCAGGCGATATTAAGTTAAATGAATATAATGTGTAGTTACTTTTGTTCAGATTTCTAAAAACAAAGACAAAAAACGCGTTACAACCTCGATCGTGAACATGTACCGTAATCGTTTGTGAAAACACGGCCTCCTTTATACTTAGACAGTGTTTTGTAAACATAATTACAATTACAAACACCCAGCCATTGTTAAATTTGATCGAAGACGCCAGTTACAAGGGGAAACGTTTGACTCCTTTCTCACCGATCTTAAGCTCCTGGCCCATGGTCTAGACATGACAGAGTCGAATAAGAAAGTGAAGAATGATCCTCGCAGTTAATTTTCCAATTTAAGCAATTGGAAAGAAGAAGCCTGAAAAAATCAGGGCTTCAACGGGATTCGAACCCGTGACCTCCGCGATACCG